AGGGATGGCTGATTGGAAAACACATAAGTGCTACCAAAAAAACCCACAGGAATTCCACTGAAAAGCTGCATTTGTGTCCTTGAGGGTCATGGATGCAAACGTGGTGGCAGCAAGGAACAGTGGTGAGGGTTTCTGTGTTCCCTGGCCAGGAGAGATGATGCTGTTAGCAGCAGTGGAGAAGAGCAGCCCTGCTGCTGCAATACTGGAGACATAAACTTGTGTGTGTGTGGGTGAGGCTGCAGAGCTGGAAATAACCTTGAGAGAGAACAAGTGAAAAGAGCCCATCAGGAGAGAGAACGATTAGTGGGGAGATGGATGGGCAGCGGGAGGGAGGCAGGGAGGTCGGGCACGAGGTGCTGGCAGCCAGTGGAGGAGCAGAAAGGTTTCCAAAAAGTCACTGCTGGGTCATGCTCAGTGCTCAGACAGAAATAGATTTGACTCTGCCTGCCTGTGTGCTCACTGTGCAGAGAGGAAAGCCATGGGCAGCAGGCAGATGGGTGCGGAACTGCCCTTTTGAGCTGCCCCTTCCCAGGGGGGAGATGACACTGTTAAATAGTTTTTTTACTCTTATGAGGATATTTTAAACTCAAATAATGAGTTTCAAGGAGGCTGGTTTGGATAGCACCACCACGTTTGAGTCTTGATGATTCCCCTCTCCCAGGCTGCTGTCATGGTCCTTCACTCTCCAACTTGAGTGGTGACACTTATAGAAATAAGTTTTGCTACTGTCACCATGAAACACCCTCCTGAAACAGCACAGGCAGCAAAGGGAGGAGCAAATATCCACACCAGTACTGGGATCCAGTGGGAAAACTCAGCTGGGGGATGGCAGTGCTGCAGCTGGATCATAGAATCCTAGAATGGCTTGGGTTGGAAGGGACCTTAAAGACCATCTAGATCCAACCCCCCTGCATGGGCAGGGTTGCATTAACAGCCAGAGGAGCAGGAGTTGCACCTTGTGCAGCTTGAGCTGAAAAGGTCAGTGCAGGAGTAGCAGGGGAGGGTGGCAGGAGCACTGTGGATTTTTCCCCATCGGGATCATGGCCAAGAGGTGCCCTGTGAAGCTGCCATGGAGGAAATGATGGGAAGGGAGCAGCAGAGCAGGATGCAGGTGCAGAAGCAGGAGGGGAGGGAGGTGTGGTGCATTGAGCCAGTGGGGATGCAAAAAGCAGAAACAGAAAAATCAGTCAGGGATGTGTCTGACACCTGCCAGGCTTCCTCAGGCTAGTGTATCAATGAATGAATTGCAGAAGTGTCTGCTCTAACTCATGGGATGTTGGCAGGCAGGAAACCCTCTGGTGAAGCTGCTGGCTGGGACCTGAGCTTCATCCACCATTTAGGGGAACATTTGAGCATGTGCTTAAAACCCTGGACATCAGTTAGGTCAAAGCATGTGCTTAAAGTGAGCCCAGATGCTGAAGTGAGTTGTTGCACAGACATGGATCTGTGTAGATGCTTAAATTTGTTCCTGACTCAGCAATCTTTCAGGTTTGTTGGTATTTGCCTGCTGCTGCTCTGAGCAGGTTTGCCCTGGGGGTCCCTGACTCTCCCTATGTGCTCAGATTCAAACCAGGCTCTAAACAGGGGTGCACCAGTGGCACTGTCCTGGTTTAGGCTGGGCTTTTCAGAGGAGAGATTGTCTCCAACCCTTCCACCCCCCCCCACGTCCTGCAGAGGGGAACCAGCCACCAGTGCTTCCACTTGGTGACTCCTCTGTGTTGGCTCCTTGGCTACAAGTGTGAGAGGGGAGTGTTAAAACTGAACCAAAAAGGGATTTTCAATTACACAAATGTTTCTGTGAATTAATAGGCTTTGCAAGGCATTATTCTACAAAATCCTAAATATGGGGTTTAACCTCCTCGTTATTATCCCTTTAATTTCAGAAAGTCTTTGAGGGCCTTAATCTCCCAGACAGTGATGCTGAGTGGCCGTGGTGACACGCAGGGCAGCCCATGCCCAGCCTGACCTTCACCAAAGGCTAAACATGAAACTCTCCCATCCCACCGCCTCGTCCCAGGGCGGGGACCACCCGACCCCTCCTGGA